TTTTCTTACCTTGTCAATTATAATGCTTTAGGCCCTGGTTCACCCTATAGCTTGCATACCTTGTCAATTATAATGCTTTAGGCCCTGGTTCACCCTATAGCTTGCATACCTTGTCAATTATAATGCGTTAGGCCCCGGTTCACCCTATATCTTGCATACCTTGTCAATTATAATGCTTTAGGCCCGGTTCACCCTATAGCTTGCATACCTTGTCAATTATAATGCTTTAGGCCCGGTTCACCCTATAGCTTGCATACCTTGTCAATTATAATGCTTTAGGCCCCGGTTCACCCTATAGCTTGCATACCTTGTCAATTATAATGCTTTAGGCCCTGGTTCACCCTATAGCTTGCATACCTTGTCAATTATAATGCGTTAGGCCCCGGTTCACCATATATCTTGCATACCTTGTCAATTATAATGCTTTAGACCCCGGTTCACCCTATAGCTTGCATACCTTGTCAGTTGTAATGCTTTAGGCCCCGGTTCACCCTATAGCTTGCATACCTTGTCAATTATAATGCTTTACGCCCCGGTTCACCATATATCTTACATACCTTGTTAATTATAATGCTTTAGGCCCCGGTTCACCCTATAGCTTGCATACCTTGTCAATTATAATGCTTTAGGCCCCGGTTCACCCTATAGCTTGCATACCTTGTCAATTATAATGCTTTATATAATGCTTTAGGCCCTGGTTCACCCTATAGCTTGCATAACTTGTCAATTATAATTCTTTAGGCCCCGGTTCACCCTGTAGCTTGCATACCTTGTCAATTATAATGCTTTATATAATGCTTTAGGCCCTGGTTCACCCTATAGCTTGCATACCTTGTCAATTATAATGCTTTAGGCCCCGGTTCACCCTATAGCTTGCATACCTTGTCAATTATAATGCTTTATATAATGCTTTAGGCCCCGGTTCACCCTATAGCTTGCATACCTTGTCAATTATAATTCTTTAGGCCCCGGTTCACCCTATAGCTTGCATACCTTGTCAATTATAATGCTTTAGGCCCCGGTTCACCCTATAGCTTGCATACCTTATCAATTATAATGCTTTAGGCCCCGGTTCACCCTATAGCTTGCATTCCTTGTCAGTTATAATGCTTTAGGCCCCGGTTCACCCTATAGCTTGCATACCTTGTCAGTTATAATGCTTTAGGCCCCGGTTCACCCTATAGCTTGCATACCTTGTCAATTATAATGCTTTAGGCCCCGGTTCACCCTAATTGCTTTATCAGCTTTAGGCCCGGTTCACCCTATAGCTTGCATACCTTGTCAGTTATAATGCTTTAGGCCCCGGTTCACCCTATAGCTTGCATACCTTGTCAATTATAATGCTTTAGGTCCCCGGTTCACCCTATAGCTTGCATACCTTATTAATTATAATGCTTTAGGCCCCGGTTCACCCTATAGCTTGCATACCTTGTCAATTATAATGCTTTAGGCCCCGGTTCACCCTATAGCTTGCATACCTTGTCAGTTATAATGCTTTAGGCCCCGGTTCACCCTATATCTTGCATACCTTGTCAGTTATAATGCTTTAGGCCCCGGTTCACCCTATAGCTTGCATACCTTGTCAATAATAGGCCCCGGTTCACCCTATATTCCTTCATTATAATGCTTTAGGCCCTGGTTCACCTTATAGCTTGCATACCTTGTCAATTATAATGCTTTAGGGCCCTGGTTCACCCTATAGCTTGCATACCTTGTCAATTATAATGCTTTAGGCCCCGGTTCACCCTATAGCTTGCATACCTTGTCAATTATAATGCTTTATATAATGCTTTAGGCCCCGGTTCACCCTATAGCTTGCATACCTTGTCAATTATAATGCTTTATATAATGCTTTAGGCCCCGGTTCACCCTATAGCTTGCATACCTTGTCAATTATAATACTTTAGGCCCCGGTTCACCCTATAGCTTGCATACCTTGTCAATTATAATGCTTTAAGCTCCGGCTCACACTATAGCTTGCATGTGAATTGCACAGGAATTGCGCTAATTTCCTGTGTAATTCACATGCAATTCTGTGCACCGCTATCTGAGTCCATTCATTTTGAAAGGGCTCAAATCGCACTGCGCCACACCAAAGAAGTAGAGGGACCTTTTTTGGAGCCACACCACAACCACATCACATGGTTGTTTTGTAATAGTGATCCTGTGTGGGCAAACCGCACTGCGATTGTGATACGGGGGTGTTGTTAACTTTACCTTGAGACCAACAGATGATCATAAACGCAGTACAATTGCAATTTGGTGCGGAAATGCACAGGGATCACTGCGTCTCCTGCACCGCATATGTGTGAACCTAGGCTAGTTAATGTCTTTTACAACATTTTATGTTTACAAGGGCTTTCTATGGTCATATGTGTTATTTGGAAGGTAGGGGTTCAGGGTTTTGGAAGGTTGTTCTTGCTGGCCTGATGGGACTTCATAAACGCCATAATATTTTTTAAAGAAATTTCAGGTTATTTATTAAAATACTTAAATTGAATTTAAAGGCAAGGCCTTTTTAGTTTTCAAAAAAGTGGTGAGAATTCAAAATGCCTGTCACATTATTCTTGTTATCTGTGTCTCTGCTAGGGTTATTCACACTCTCTATTTGTTTTGATAATCATTGTCACCGGGACTAAGTCCCTGGTCACACGGGATGCGAATTGGCATGCGATTTGTATGCCATGCGATTTGCAAATTGCATGCCAAGTCGCACCCTATTGTCCGCAATTAGAGCAGTCATATCGGTGCGGTTCCGACTTGGTCGGAGCCACACCGATTTCTAAAGTAGTACTACTTTTGGTGCCATTTGCATAGACATTTGCGTCAGATGTCTTGCAAATATATATAAATATATATATTTATATATATTTTTGAGTTTAAAGAGGATTGATTGATACACAGGTTTGACGGTCAGCAGGGTGTTTACTGATACATCCATTTTTGCTTCACTTTATTGTTTATTTTATGTAGTATTTATTTTCTTTTATTGGCCTTTGTTGTTTATGCACTTATTAGCAGCACCACACTACACACAAATTTTTCTTAGTCACTTTTATGTGGGAACACATTTTGGTGTAGGCAGCATCTTTTTTCTGTAAGAGTATTTTGGCAGCCCATGAGTATCTCCTTGCTTCTCAGATTACAGGAGGACAACACTGGATTCTCTGGGCTTGTGAATATGTTTGTAGAGAATAACCCAGAGAACAAGGTAAGAGGGTAAAGAAAAAAAAAATAACATGAAGGGTGAAGTTCTTTTTAAAGGTTAATAGGCTTAGAAAATTCTGCCTGTATATAAATGAAGACTAACCTAAAGACCACATTCAGAGAGTAATTATAACGTATTCATATTGTGAATGGTATGCGTTAGGGTAGTGTACTCCAAGGTTCAGTGTTGGGATCTCTATTTTTTACCCTATTTATAAATTATATAAAGTTTGGGATTAAAAGTACCATTTCTGTGTTTGCAGATGACACCAGACTATGTAGTGGAATAAAGTTCTTACTGAATGTTTCCAATTTATAAGCAGATCTGAATACACTTTTTAATTAGGCGACTTGATGGCAAATGAGGTTTAATATTGATAAATGTATAGTTATTCACTTGGGGGCTAAAAACCTGCATGTATCATAAATTTGAGCAGGAGTACAACTGGGTGAGACAATAATTACGAAGATCTGGGTGTTCTGGTAGACTGTGGACTTAATTATAGCAAGAAGTGCCTAACTGTAGTTTCTAAAGCAAGAAAAATACTTTCTTTTAATAAAAGAGGCATAGACTACGGAGAAAGAAACATAATATTGTTCCTCATCTAGAATAGGCAGTTCAATTTTGGGCACCAGTTTACAAAAAGAATAAAAGGGAGCTAGAGTTTGTACATAGAGAGAGGTAACAAAACTAAAGAGGAGCTCAGTTATGAGGAAAGATTAGCCAAAGTGAATTTATTCCCCTTGAGAAGAGACATTTAAGAGGGGACATGACCACCACATACGTTGAAAATACATAAATGGTCCATATAGTGAACAAAGTTATTTATCTTATGTTCATTTGGTAGGACAAGGGGGCACTCTTTGGGGTCTATTTATAAAAAAAAAGTGTGGTGTGAATGTCTCAGCATTTGCACAGCTGTTGCAAATAATTTCCATAATGTGTCTAATATGTTTATTTCCTAGAATTGTCAGCTCTATCTAGTGGCCACCAGTTTTTTAGGAAAATACTCCATTATGGTCACTAGAGCTGATGATCATAGGAAAGAAACATAATAGACACATGTTCTGAGACAGGGGCGAACTGAAAACTCATGGGGCCCCCAGGCAATACAGGGGCGGACTGACAACTCATGGGGTCCCCGGGCAATAGGGATCATGGGGCCCCTGTGCCCTTGCCCAAACTCAAAAAAGCCTATGAAAAAGGTACCAGGGGCATCTCATGGGGCCCCCTACTGACCCCGGGCCCTCGGGCAGTGCTCGAGTTTCCAAATGGTCAGTCCGCCCCTGTTCTGAGATATTTGCACATTTTTTTTATAAATAGACCCCTTTGGGTCTAGAGGAAAATAAATTTAACCTCTGCATAGCAAAAGGCTTCTTCACCGTAAGAGCTGAGAAAATGTGGAATAGACTTCCTCAGGATCTAGTTCTAGCAAGCTATATTATTTCTTTTTTCTTTTTAAAGCTGCATGCACTTCTAAATGCACAGATTATAACGGGTATTAACATTTTTAAGTAATAATGGTAAAAATTGTTGATAAGAGTTTTTTGTCTTCCTCTGGACCAACTGTGGATTGAGGAAATATGAAGGTTTTTAATTAATTTATTTTTTTATCAGTTGACTTTAATTGACGTGTGCCTTCCTGACTAACTAGGAGACTTGGACTATGAGCTGAATGGGTTTCCCAGGGTTTCATTAATTAAAAGCTTGATATCATGAGTATAGCCAAAGTTAACTTTTGAAGCCTGAGGTAGTAGACCAACATTCCTCAACAGTAATACACAAACCTTACCTTCTGAGAACTTGTACAGATCAGTTATATCATGCGGTCCATCTCCTCCTATTTCTTTAGTTAAAATTTTTTGTCCCACGTGTGCTTTATCAGTATACTGAACCACTTTTGATCCATCTTTCAATACTTTAGAGTAAACGATGTCACTGTTTACCTGTAACAATAAAAAAGAAATTTGTGGCTTATCCAAAATATTTCATTTTATCTTCAACTGTTTGACATTTATCAATGAAATTTAAGAATTTTTTTCCTCAAATAAATGCATGATATAGTGCAAGGGCCTCCAAACTTTCTAAACAAAGGGCAAGTTTACTGTCTCAGATTTTAGAGGGGCTGGACTGTGCCCAGTGGGAGTAAACAGTATTAGGAGGAGAAATAGTGCTCTATTGTTGGTGTTAGTGGGAGGAATTATGCACCATTGTTGGTGTCAGTGACAGAAATAATGCCTCAAGGGCCAGATAAAGGCAAGCAAAGGGCCACAGTTGGCCCTTGGGCCACAGTTTGGAGACCACTGATATATAAATATTATTTTTACTGCTGTTGAAGCATGGAGGTAGCTTTTAAAAACCTTGTTATGTCTGTTATTACATACAGTGAATGTAACTGGGTGCAACAGACATGTAGTCTGTTGTGTTCTGGAAAAAAGGGTAGCCATACATTGGCCAAAAGGGCACAGGAAATATACAGTAGTAAAGTTGTTTTTCCTAAATAAAAGTGACTTGTCACTGTGACCATGTCATTAAAATCTGCCAAAAACATGGTAATGTTGGTTTTGGCAGATTTTAATGACATGGTCCTGCAACAAGTCTCTGATTTGGTCTGGTCGTCTTTCTGAACATGACAACAATGGGCATGCTTGCACAATGCTACATGGCTGCTTATGGCAACCAGTAAAGTCAAACAGGTTTCCCTTCCTTCCTATACCATGGAGGCAATATAAGGTGTATCCCTCTTAGGGAATGTTAAACAGCCCAATGCTTGCAAGCACCTGGCCTTTGAGTGTAGTTTTCATTTTTGGAGAACTCTCTCAAAGCATCAATAAATATGAAAGGGCATAAAAGCTAATATTAGCATAGGGGCCATACACTTGCCACATGGCTAATGTAAATCCATGTGGTTATCTGATCAGAAAATGAACAGGCAACATGTTTTATTTATGTAACAAAAATGCTGTGTGAATGTATCAAATTTTCTTGAAATATCTCAATCAGAAAAATACTGCATTATGGCCACTAGATTGAACTGGCTATCAGAGGAAATAAACATATTAGACACATTTGTGAGAGCTGTGATACTTTCACACAGCACATTTATTATAAATAGACCCCAGTGCATGGAAACTTTAGCAGTTAATGAAACACTGGGTAGCTGCATGTAGACAAGTGACTACAAGGGTTTTGTACAAAAAAAAGTTTTCTTTTATTTTGGTTCACCTGTTATACCTGTTACTATTGTGAGTACTAATTATATATGCAAGGTGTAGTGAGTCTGTAGGCTGCCCAAAGGCTAGAAAGGAGTTAAAGTGATTGTAAACACTGACATATACCCAGTGAAGTGACTGGCCTCAGGTGATACACAGAGATTAAATAAATTCTCCTGCATAAGTTGTACCTGTCCAGGGGAGGACTGATAATTCACGGGGCCCCCGGGCAACAGGAGATCATGGGGCCCCTGTGTCCCCACCCCAAACTCAAACCACACCCACACAAAGCCCCACCTTCATATTACACTGCCCACATTACATGCGTTTATGGCAGCCATCCTCCACATATTGCAGCACAGCTGAACAGAAGGGCCCATCAGCAAACCAATGCCCAATTCATGTCTGCAGCTTAGGCTCATGGAGATTCCCATTGGCAGTGCTGGGAAGCCACTGAACACAAAGGTAGCATGCACGCCATCTAATAATCTGTCAGATGCCTGACATGTTCCCAACCATGCCTCCAGGTACCTCTGTGGGCCTGATCATTTGGTTATTGCAGCTCAGCTGAAAAGAGAGGGCATTTAAATATCCACAGCATAGCCTGCATGGAAGTTCGCAACCTCTTTGGAAGCTGCTAGGCACTTCTAGGTTTAAAGACGGCCACTACGTGGCAGCCATCTTTGTGATTCATTGAGGAGAGCTTTATGAAAGCAGTGGGCCTATGTGCAGGATCATAATTTGGGCCCCAATACCAGGGAAAGAAGGAAAAAACATTAGGTGTGGTTTTTGTGGGCTGTAGGTAACTCCTGCTGGTTACATAGTACAGTAACTCCATGACTGAAAGTTTGATTGCCTTGTGGGGCTGTTCGGCTCCCACTCAGCTCCTTTCTAACAGCGTTGCCACCCCCCCCCCCCCCCCCCCCATGTTTTTATTTTTTAACATGTTAAAATGTTGGAAGATCTAAGGGTAGAGCACATTTTTTTTTGCTGAGAACCTGAAAAATTACAGAGACTCCTATTAGAAACTAAGCAGGGAAAAGGGGATGGAAGGATAGAGACAGGAGGGGGGAGGGGGAGGAGAGACTGGAATAGAAGGTAGAGAGAGAAATGGGGAGATGGGAAAGTAGGGGTAATAAGGAGAAAGGGGGAGAAGGACGGGAGAGAGAGGGGGGCGAGGAAGAGAGAGAGATATTGAGGGGGGGACAGAGGGAGAGAGATAAGGCGGGTGAGAGAGAGGAGAGGAGTTAAGAGGGGGGTGAGAGAGGGTGTGAGAGAGAGAAAGAAGTGGGTTGGTAAGAGAAAGGGAGAGGGAGAGAGAGCGAGAACGAGAGAGAGAGAGTGGTGAAAAAGGGGTGGTGGTGAAAAAGAAGGGGGGTGAGAGGGGGGGGGCATGAGAGAAAGGGGGGTGAGAGAAGGGGGATGAGAGAAAGAGGGATGAGATAGAGAGGGGGTGTGTGGGGGGGGAGAGGGTGAAGTGGGAGGGGAGGAGAGGAAGAGAGAGATAAGAGAAGGGCATGAGAGAGGGGGGAAAGAGATGGGGAGAGAGAGGAGGAGAGAAGGGGGTTCAGAGATGGGGGTGAGAGAGAGATGGGGGGTAAAAGAGAGAGGGGGTGAGAGAAGGAGGGGCGAAAGAGAGAGGAGGTGAGAGGGAGGGGGGCTGGGGGGGTGAGAGAGAGTGGGTGAGGGACAGGGTAGGGGGGTGAAAGAGAGAAAGTGGAGTGGGGGGTGAGAGAGTAAGGAGGTTAGAGAAGGGGAGAGATAAAGGGGTGGAATATAGGCAGAAAGCACAAGAAATTATCAGCTCGCATGATTTCTGGCAGAGCCTAACATTTTTAGGGTTTATACACACTTTTATAAACTGTGAGGTTGATTTACTAAAGCTAGACAGTGCTAAATCTGGTGCAGCTCTGCATAGAAACCAATCAGCTTCCAGGTTTTATTGTCAAAGCTTAATTGAACAAGCTGAAGTTAGTAACTGGTTGGCTATCAACTACACGAGATTTTGCACTCTCCATTTTTAGTAAATCAACCCCTGAATCTCGCTGTAACTATTATTATTATTATTATTATACAATATTTATAAAGCGCCAATAGTTCGCTCAGCGCTTATTCTATAATTAATTCTTTACCGCCATTTTGGGTATGGGCTAATGTGTGCTGGCATTATATTAAAAATGATTAAAAAAAAATATATGTGTGACTAATATACATTTCAGTCAGTTGCAGTTAAATGTTGGAAAATTAAAATTCCCTATCACATCTTAGAGGCTTTGAAATATTGTTGCTTTTAGATAAAACATTACAGATGTAAATTATATGAAAAAGGACTGGATAAAACAAAACACTATCAAGAAGCTGTTATTATTTTACTGTGGTGAATTTATTTTACAAAATTGAGTTTATGATGAGATAGAAGAAAAACATACCTCAGAGAAAAGGAAAGGCGTATCAAACTGAAAGCAGACGTGTCCATGTTTAATGGCTTGAACAGATGCAGGACCACATCTAAACATACCTAGAGATGATCAATATTACAAATTAGAAGACAAATCCCATAGCATTCTCTTTTCTTACTCTGCTTTATAGCTTCCTTGTAGTCATGTAGTCTTATACCGCGTTTTCACACATAAAACTGCTCTGTGACCTTGTTTGCTTTATTGTATGTTCAAGTGGGTGTATTATAATATAATATTATAGTATGCTATTAATTAGAAGGCCAAATGACCATTCACCCTTTTGTTGGGTGGCTAGTGTGGGTTCCACTGTTTAGCATAAACATGCTTTAAACTCTGTGCTGGACTGCTGATTGTGTGAAAGTGTGAATTTCCACATTACACAGGCTGGATCAGCAGCAAATTGCTCATGGCATTTGTTCCAAGCAATCTAATTACTAATGTACTTTAAATCGATACTGTGTGTGTTTATTGACATGATGGTGCTTATGAATTGATTATTGGATTGACTGACTGATTGATCAGTTGTTTGTGTTATGTATTCTAAGATCATCAGATCAGTTACCGAGGGCTGTAAGAAAGTAACACTAAAACACACACTAAAATTACTTGATAGAAAATTAGTACTGTTCAATGCTCTTCGTTGCCTAACTGATGTCCCTCCCTTGTATTCCTTCTTGACTGAAGTTTGAATCTATGACTTTGGGCTATGGTTTGGGGTGTTGGCTGATAAAAGGAGAACATGAAGGTTATGACAGAGCAATAGCAATACCTGTAGGATTCCCAGGAGCTACTGTTTTCTCCAGTGACACTCATTAGTTAAGTTGGCTATAGATGTGAAAAGTGGTAGTAAGACGAGGCTCTACAATCCTCATTTAAAAAAGAGAAAGTACTGTATATAAAAATGCATGCTCATAATGCCTGAGGGTATATGTTTATGCACTTACATTTGGAAGAACAACAGCAATCAGCCAACTTCTAACCTTATTGACACCTCCCAATTTTAGCAGGCAGAAAACCTAGTGTTCCTTCTAAATCTGTAGTGTACCTATAGTAAAGCAAATTTAAGACAAAATAAAAACAACACCATTGTTATGATTTTTCCACATTCTCTTAATGCTCTTTCTTATTTAGGGATTTCCCTTGCTCCACTCCAATGGCCAACCTCTATGCAAATAAATGATTTCCCCTTTATTGCACAAGTTTTTACATTTCTCTTAGCCTGCTTAGGATAATTTCCACTTTCCTGGTTATGTAGAATTGCTGCAATCAAAATGACCTTTTTTCTTACAATTGTTCTATTACTTTAGGGTTCTTCCAGTAGTTGCCCCTGTATATATACTGATAGGCTTGGGTTCCTGAGAGATTCTCAAAATATAACCAAGCAGCTCAGTTGGTCCAGTATACCTAAATTTCATGCAGCAAAGAGAAACCCCTATGTTGGGGGACCTTACGAGAGCAAACAGAATACAACCCAAATTCTGTGTAATGTGTATAAATCTTATTTGCGCCATGTAATCTAAGTGGGACAGACCTACGATTTCTAATCCTATATTGAAACACACCTTGCAGGTCTGAGAGATCCCATAAAATACTAGTCTACGCCTATTGGACATCCTCAGCGTAAGCTTCTCATATCTTTCCTTAACAATCCAGCACTTCTTCTAGCTTTCCCACAGTCCCCATTTTTTTCAGGCATAGTATCTGTGGACAAGTAAATGACTCAAATCAAAGCTTATCACAACTGCTAAGGTTTTGCCTTTCTCTTCATTACAACTAGAGATGAGATGCGAATTATTCAAAAATTCTCGATTCGGCTGATTCGCCGATATTCGCGGAATAAATTGATTCGAGGCGAATATATTCGCTGCGAAATTTAACTTATAAAAAGGGTGTTTCTAGGCTTTCAGAGAGCCTTTATATTAGTGCAGAACAACTGTACCTTTAATTTAAATTCCCTTGGAGTCTGCTGGGGAAGAGAAATAATACTGTCAGTCAGTATGACATGCAGATGAGTGCCGTCGAGTCTTAGAATCTTAGCATCACTTCGCACACTTCACTCATTTGGGCATCGTCACGGGGCCAAAACCAGAGTGTGGAGCCCACAGTGTGGCGGTGGGCCAGGCAGCAATGCACTTTATGGGAGGCCCTATACAGCACCCTATGACAAAATATAGGAACCCGACCTAGCAGTGTGAGGAGACCTGAAAGTGGAGCACATGGCAGAGTGTGGCGATGGACGACAGCAGCAATGGGAGTGCCGTACAGGGACCCATGAAAGCACTCTGGACCTGGCAGCAAGCATGAGGAACGCATGAGGATGGACGGTTTACAGGGGCCCATGACAGATTACGGGCCTGGCAGCAGCATGACAGTGGTCGGGCGGTGGATGCAGCAGTATTCGGAAGCCAAACACAGGCGCTCGGTTACAAAAGCGGAAGCCGTCAGCAGCGTGAGCAGACGACAGAGAGACACATGGCGCAGGGTGGCGGTGGATCTGCAGCAGTATTCGGAAGCCAAACACAGGCCATCGGTTTAAAAAACCTAGACGGAAGCCGTCAGCAGTGTGAGCAGACGACAGAGGCACATGGCGCAGGTAGGGTGGCGGTGGAGTTTAGGCCAGCAGTATTCGGAAGCCACACAGGCCTAGGTTAAAAAAGACGGAAGCCTATGACAGCAGCGTGGAGCAGGTACGACAGAGACACATGGCGCGTCGATGTGGGTGGACGGTGGATGCAGCAGTATTCGGGAAGCCAAACACAGGCCTTCGGTTAAAAAAAGCGAGGAAGCCGTCAGCAGCATGAGCAGACGACAGAGGCACATGGCGCAGGGTGGCGGTGAGTGAACTGGCAGCAGCAATGGAAGGGCCATACAGCACCCTATCACAAAATGGAACACACTAACAGTGTAAGGAGACCTGAAAGTGGCACATCGGCAGGACGTCTTGGCGATGAAGTCAGCAGCAATGGGAGGCCGTACAGGGACCCATGTCCACACTCTGAGACCTGGCAGCAGTAAAAAAAGAAAACAAGAGGAGGCTGTGGGTACAGGGCCCATGGCAGAGTGGCGAAGCGTAAGCAGCTTAAATTGAAGGCATACAGAGGCCTATGTTAAACAAATAATAAACATGTTTGGGCATGATTCATGGACGGATTTAGTCATTCACATGTGTCAGGAACTGGGTGGTTTTTATTTGAAATCCTAGACTAATCCAGTCGCCTGATTCATTTTCACAAAACGTGAGTCCTCTCGTCCACCACACTTTGGGTGGACAGTGCGTGTCCTCCGCGGAGTTACAATACCTCCTGCCGCACTAAACACGCGCTATCCGATGCCACGCATACTGGCCGGGACCCATGACTGCCTTTCAAGGGCAAATTTCAGCTAGTTGGGGCCAAAGGTCCAAGTTTCGTTGCCCAGTAGTCATGGGGATTGTCTACCTCACGGTTGGCTAGGCTAGAGGGTGCTCCAAGTAGGCCCGAGCCTGTTGTTTGAGGTCCTGCTCCAGGTCCACCTGACCTGCTGCTGTGCTGCTGCGGTCTGGTTAGTAGTTTCCTCACTGCGCTGGTCGAAGAAAGCTATTTATCTTCCATCGACTGCAGACTGATGGCAGCCCGCTGCTGGTGGAGCTGCCACTGCTCCTACCCACCCCACCCCTCCCCTGCTGCCATGGCAGCGGATCGCGGATAGCCGCACAGGGCCCACAGTGTCTGAGGATGGACGTTGTAGCGCAGAAAGGCAGAGGGGGGGACTGCCCAACTGACTACATAGGTGGTTTTTATAGTGTAACTTTATTTTGGCCTCCCCTCTCAGCAGGTCGGTGTGAAAAAGGCACCTTTAGTGACATTTTTGAACGGTAGCGAGGGTTCCAACTCAAGGTGGACAGCCAAAAGTCATCCTCTCTGTCTGTCTGGTTATTATTCGGCTTTCACGGTCTAAGTCGCTAGCAAGCAACGGCGAACGAGCATGCTATGGGCCCATTTGTGCCAAGGAATGCGAGGGTTACTCCCTGCCTCCTTCTCCACAGCATACTGCCACGGTGCTGCGTCTGGGTCCTCTGTCTCTCTTCCTCTCCTCTACCAGATGCTCCTGCTCCTCCACTCCTGTCCGCTGAGTGGAAAAAACCACCCATTTACACTCAAATAATTCCTGAGCACCAATGTCCTCCTCTACCTCCTCCTCTTCTTCCTGTCCTGCCCCCACAGGGGGTCATGTGGCGTTGAGATCTGTGCGCCACGTCTACCGCACCCTGACCAGCCATTGTTTAACAGCATTTGTTCCAGGACGTGCAACAGAGGAATGACGTCTCATTCATCCCATAGTCCTGCCGACTCACGAATAGCGTGGCCTCCTCAAAGGGCCTGAGCAAGCGGCAGGTGTCGACACGCATGAGCTGCCAATGGCTGACATCTAAGTTACACAGGGGAGTACCTTTATCCGCTTGTAACATCAGGAAATCGGTGATGGCCTTTCGCGGTTCGTAAAGGCGGTTTCTTAACATATGTAGGGTTGATCTATTCCACCTTGTTGCAACGTCGCAGATCAGGCGATGCTGTGGAAATTCCGTTCTGCCGCTGCAGCTCAAGGAGGGTGTGCTTTGCGGTGTAGGAATGGCTGAAATGTCATGCCAAGTTTACGTGACATTTTAAGGATGTCTTGCTTGTGGGATGGTGGATTTTAGGAACCGCTTGACAACCAGATTGAACACGTGAGCCATGCATGGCACATGGCACAACCTTCCTTTGACGCAGAGCAGACACCATGTTCTTTCCAGGTTGTCGGTCAACATGGTTCCGATTTTCAGTTTGCGCGGAGACAGCCATCTGTCGATTTCTCTGTTCATTACACTCAGAAGTTCCTCCCCTGTGTGACTAAGACGTTCGCCAAGGCATACCAGGTGCAGCACAGCGTGACACCTGTTGCGCCCTGCACATGTGATATGCGGTCGGGAGTAATGGGACTTGGACGGGCGGCTGTGGGGGGGGCAGACTGAGGACACGGCGGAAGAAGAGGTGGTAGAGGCGGGACATCTTTGCTGGACCAAAGACGTGCAAACGTGGAG